CAGGCCCAGCACCAGCAAGGGCAGCAGGTAGCTGAAGACGAAGGTGCAGAGGTCCATGGCGCGGCGTCGGGGCGCGCTCCACGCCGGGTGGCACACCGTCAGGTTGGCCAGCCGCGACTGGCGGTAGTAACTCAGGTAGGGCCCCGAGAAGAGCAACGACAGCCCCCAGATGAGCCCGATGGCCCCCAGCGCGTTGCGAGGCGTGCGCAGTTCGCGGGAGCGCAGCGGGTAGCGGATGGCCAGATACCTGCGGGTCAGCCGGGAAGGGAGATGTCAGCCGAGCGAGCGGATTTGCGCCTTCAGCCCAGGACCTTTGCACCTCGGGCCCCACACCCGCTCTCCAGGACGGTCCTCAGTGCACGGTCACAGCGCACACATCCCCAGGGCGACCCAGCAGCGTCGAGATGTGGGGTGACCCAGCAGCAGGAAAGGCGCACGTAGAGGCCACTCATCTGCTCTCTCCGGGACTACTACCCGGGTGGAGTCGGAACCGGCTGGGGGGCACCGGGAGGCTACTACCCACCAGTGACGATGCCCCGGGAGGTGGGCTCAGGCAGGCGCCTGAGGAGACAGACAGCCTGGGAACGGCAGGCGAGCAATCTCCTTCGGGAAGCCGGCGCGCCGTGGGCCGCACCCGCGCTCCGGAACCGACACTCCGCGCTCAGTGGAACTGGGAGGCGTGTGTGGAACTGGGAGGCGCGTGTGGAACTGGGAGGCGTGTGTGGAACTGGGAGGCGCGTGTGGAAGGCGGGCTCATCTCGCTTCCTTCCCAGGGGAGAGGGGCAGCGCGTGGGGGCCAAGGGGAGCGAGCAGAGACCGTGGTCAGACCCGCCTTTCCTCCCCAGGTGTCCTTCCACGCTAGGGCTTAGGGGGCGGGCGAGTTCTGCGCGTTCCTCTCCCTGCCCTTGACCTGGGCCCGGAGGTGGGGTGCAGAAGGGGTGGGACCAAGCCAGGGGACCTCGGGCGTGGCATGGGCCCCCACGAAGGACCCAAATTCCCAAGTCCGGGCCAGAGTCCAGGGCACCGAGCAAACTGTGGCTTCGAGGCTGAGTTTGACGCCACGAGCGCTGGCTTCCCGCACACAAGTACTGGATGGGCGACCCTGAACCCCTCGACCTCCCTCGTCTGTGCAGTGGGCACAGTCACCCCTCCCACCCCAATCTCACGGGGTCATTGAGCCTCAAGAGAGACCAAGCACGGGAAAACGCTGCGCTTTGCTGGCTGCCGGCGGCGCTGGAGAGCTGAGGTCTCCAGGCTGCAGCGCCAAGGACGCAGCTGATAGAGGGACACGGCAGCCCCCCCCCCCTAATTACTCCTCTCTCGCGAGCACGCCTGCCTGCTGTCTTTCCCTCCCTCCCGGCCCCTCTGAGTGGTGGAGTCCTTTTCTATCCTCTCTGCCTCTTTCCTTGACCCTCGAGTCCCGCCCCTGCGCAGTGGCCGGCCCTGGGGGTGCCAGGGCGCGCGCTGACCTGTCCAGCGAGACGGCGGCCAGCGTGAAGCTGCTGGCGTGCATGGTGAGGAAGATGAGGAAGTGCACGGCCTTGCAAAGCAGGGAGCCGAACACCCAGCCGTCCAGGGTGTAGATGGTGGCCTGGAAGGGCACGCAGCACACGATGAAGCTCAGGTCGGCCACGCCCAGGTTGAGGATGAACAGGTTGGTGGTGCTGACCGCCCGGCCGCTGCGGAGCAGCACGGCCAGCACCAGGCTGTTGCCCACGGTGCCCACGAGGAG